GAATCTGTATATTGCTTTGGGTAGGATGGCCATTTTGACGATATTAATTCTTCTTAGCCAGGAGCATGGGATGATTTTCCATTTGTTAGTGACCTCTTTAATTTCTCTTAAGAGTGTCTTATAGTTTTCAGGGTATAGGTCTTTCACTTCCTTGGTTAGGTGTATTCCTAGGTATTTTAATCTTTTCGATGCTATTGTGAATGGAATTGTCTTCCTGATTTCTCTTTCTATTAGTTTATTGTTAGTGTATAGGAAAGCCTATGTGACCACTCTTTATACACCTACTTCATGAGTTGTCATGGGACTAATGTTAGTTAACACCTGTGATGTTAGTTTAGCACAGTGCATGGCACATCATGGGTCTTCAGCAAGGATGACTGAATCCAAATCTGTTGTTTTAAATTTGTCCCACAGCACTCTTTCCAAGGGTTTTCAAACCTCAAGTGCATTAGAGATCTGATTATACATTGCATGTAAGACAAACACGGAACTGTGTGTGTTCTATGAACTGAAAATTTTATGTGGCTTTTGTTTGGGTGGGTTTTGTTGGGTGGTGGGACCATCTATCACTGTGATGATCTTAGCCTAGGACAGAAGAAATGAAGGAAAGAGAATGGAACCTTGTGCTCATTCCTGACCTTAAAATATTGCATTTTCTTGTGTTTCTCTCTGTCGGCTACAGAGAGGATAAAAATCATATAATTGAGTTTAAAGAGTATGGTCTAGCATAGCTTCATCAACCACTTGTCCTCTGGTGGTCATCGGTGGTCTTCAGGCATTCATACACCTGGTACTTATGCTGAAGGTCATTGAATTTTCTCTTTACGGAAATGGCACCTCGTTCAGACCTGCCCTCTGCCTTTTCCCCCAAAGAATGATACGAGGTTAGACCAAATTCTTTGTATACTTACTGGGCTCTTAGTTAATCTCTGTCCTGTTTAAGGATTAAATCTATGATACTAGTCCTGTAAGTACCCCAGAAGATTGAATGTAAACTGGATTCCAGCCATAGTCACTAAAACTGCACATGGGTAAAGACTCTCCCCACATCCTTACCCTCTAAAGTCAGAAGCAAAAAAGGTTTCTTTAGAAACTAATTGAACTGCCCAGCTATGGTGTTCATTTATAGTTTCAGTAGCCCCTATGCTAGAGATTTTTAATATGGAGCTTACCACCCAAGGCAACATGATGTGCGCACATTACTTCCAGGTGGCCAAAAATGTTGCCTAATCAATTTGCACATATTAATATTTTCTGATGAGGTGTGTATGTGTGCATTCCACCAGCATCTACTGAGCATACACAATCCATGGGCAGCTCAGTGGGCACTCAGTCCATGCAGTAGTGTCCCTGGGGCAGTTGGGTGCAAGACAGATGCAGGCACTGGGGTGCCTTCCCCGGCTGGGTCCTGCATGAGCTTCCACCGTAGGGAAAGGTTGAGTATCTGTGGTGTCCCCAGCTAGACAAGACTAGCCTTGCAAGACTGAATCGTTGGGGCTCTGGGCTTCTTCTGAAGGATGGTGGCCATGGCGTCTTTCCTTGTATAGCAGTGAGGATGCTAGGTTGGCAAGGATGAGGCATCAGACAGAAGGCCCTGGCAAGACTGAGAGGGCAGTGGAGAGCATGTGGCCTGATGAGCGCGAGTGGAGGAGAGGCACAAGTCTAAGAGGCTTGGCATCTAGGTCAGGGAATCTGGGTGAAAGGAGAAGGGCCAAGTGTGGAACTCCAGGAGAGGGATTGCAGAGGCCAAGGAGTTGTAGTGAGAAATTGTGCTGTGTGGCCATGGGGCAGGATAGGAAAGTGTTCCTCACACCCAGAAATGGGGAGCTCACTGGAGACCTTGGGGAGAACATTTCACTGGGAAGGTGAGTGTCAGACCTGGATTTCAGTGCATTGAAGAATGAAGGAAAAGTGAAGAAGTGCGAATAAACATAGCCTCTTAAGAAAAGTTTGTCTGTGAAGGGGAAGGGAGAGGGACCAAATCAGTCAAGACTCAGTCCAACAGAAAAGTAAAGTGAGGTGTATCAAGAGCAGTTCAAAGACAAGGAGACCTGAATGGCTATAGTCAGATGAATCACTACACCCAGTTGTAATCTGGGAAAAGCAAATTAATACTGAGATGTCATTTTATACCTATTCAGACAAGCACAAATTTCTAAAGTCTGGTAGTGCCAAGTTTCGCAAATGGGGAAAACTGCTGGTATGAGTAGGTTGATAACCACTTTCAGTTGAAGATACATGTACCTTACAACCCCCCAATTGCAGTCTAAGCAGTGCTTTCAAACTGCAAGTCATGATCTACTTCAGTGGATCATTAAACCAATTTGTGAGCATTTTAAAATAAACTATATGATACCAGAATTTCATATTTAGTGAGGGTGTTTTATGAAAATTTTGTTTCAAATATTTGTGTGTATGTAATGCATTGTAATAGAAAAAGGAACTCTTACCATGGGTTTAAGAAACACTGCCTAAAGCCTCCCACACAAGAAGAGATGCTTATTCTGGTGGCAGTGCACAGAAAACGTGAGAATAGCCTAGGTGCCCATCAGCAGGAGGCTGTATAAATAAATGGTGTATTCATACAAAGGCGTGCTCCACGGTGAAAGGACTGGGGCTGCTAGCATCAACAGGTGAAACAAGAGACAGGGAAGATGGAAAATTTGTAGAAGATACTCTGTGTGGTGGGTGATGCCACTTGCATATGTTTTTTTTTAAATATATATATTTTTATTTTCGTATCATTAATCTACAATTACATGAGGAACATTATGTTTACTAGACTCCCCCTTCACCAAGTCCCCCCCACATACCCCATTACAGTCACTGTCTATCAGCATAGTAAGACGCTGTAAAATCACTACTTGTCTTCTCTGTGTTGTACAGTCCTCCCCGTGCCCCCCCACACTATACATGCTGATTGTAAGGACCCCTTTCTTCTTCCTCCACTTCTCCCTCCCTTCCCACCCATCCTCCCCAGTCCCTTTCCCTTTGGTAATTGTTAGTCCTTTCATGGATTCTGTGTTTCTGCTGCTGTTTTGTTCCTTCACTTTTTTCTTTGTTCTTAGACTCCACAGATGAGTGAAATCATTTGGTACTTGTCTTTCTCCGCCTGGCTTATTTCACTGATCGTAATACCCTCTAGCTCCATCCATGTTGTTGCAAATGGTAGGATTTGTTTTCTTCTTATGGGTGAATAATATTCCACTGTGTATATGTACCACATCTTCTTTATCCATTCATCTACTGATGGACACTTAGGTTGCTACCATTTCTTGGCTATTGTAAATAGTGCTGTGATAAACATAGGGGTGCATCTGTCTTTTTCAAACTGGAGTGCTGCGTCCTTAGGGTAAATTCTTAGAAGTGGAATTACTGGGTCAAATGGTATTTCTATTTTGAGCATTTTGAGGAACCTCCATACTGCTTTCCACAATGGTTGAACTAATTTATATTTCTACCAGCAGTGTAGGAGGGTTCCCCTTTCTCCGCAACCTCGCCAACATTTGTTGTTGTTTGTCTTTTGGATGGTGGCGATCCTTACTGCTGTGAGGTGATATCTTACTGTGGTTTTAACTTGCATTTCTCTTATGACTAGCGATGTGGAGCATCTTTTCATATGTCTATTGGCCATCTGAATTTCTTCTTTGGAGAACTGTCTGTTCAGGTCCTCTGCCCATTTTTTAATTGGATTATTTGCTTTTTGTTTGTTGAGGAGTGTGAGCTCTTCATATATTTTGGATGTCAACCCTTTATCAGATCTGTCATTTACGAAAATATTCTCCCATACTCTAGGGTACCTTTTTGTTCTATTGATGGTGTCCTTTGCTGTACAGAAGCTTTTCAGCTTAGTTCTGTTTGTATTTGTTTCACATATGGTCGTGCTCCTGTGTTGGGTGCATATATATTTATAATGGTTATATCCTCTTGTTGGACTGGGCCCTTTATCATTATGTAATGTCCTTCTTTATCTCTTTTTACTTTCTTTGTTTTGAAGTCTATTTTCTCTGATAGTAGTACTGCAACACCTGCTTTTTTCTCCCTTTTGTTTGCATGGAATATCTTTTTCCATCCCTTGACTTTTAGTCTGTGCATGTCTTTGGATTTGAGGTGGGTCTCTTGTAAGCAGCATATAGATGGGTCTTGCTTTTTTATCCATTCTGTTACTCTGTCTTTTGATTGGTGGATTCAGTCCATTTATATTTAGGGTCATTATTGAAAGATATCAACTTACTGCCATTGCAGTCTTTATATTCGTGGTTACCAAAGGTTCAAGTTAGCTTCTTTAGTATCTTACTGCCTAACTTAAGTCGCTTATTGAGCTATTATAGACACTGTCTGATGATTCTTTATTTCTCTCCCTTATTCCTCCTCCTCCATTCTTTATTTGTTGGGTGTTTTATTCTGTGCTCTTTTGTGTTTCCTTTAATTGCTTTTGTGGGTAGTTGATTTTATTTTTTGCATTTAGTTAGTATTTGGTTGGTCTGCTTTCTTTGCTATGATTTTATTTTCTCCGTTGACATCTGTTTAGCCTTAGGAGTGCTCCCATCTAGAGCAGTCCCTCTAAATACCCTGTAGAGGTGGTTTGTGGGAGGCAAATTACCTCATCTTTTGCTTGTCTGGGAATTGTTTAATCCCTCCTTCATGTTTAAATGATAATCGTGCTGAATACAGTATTCTTGGTTCAAGGCCCTTCTGTTTCATTGCATTAAATATATCATGCCATTCTCTTCTGGCCTGTAAGGTTTCTGTTGAGACATCTGATGATAACCAGATGGGTTTTCCTTTGTAGGTGACCTTTTTCCTCTCTCTAGTTGCCTTTAAAACTGTCTGTGTCCTTGATCTTTGCCATTTTAATTATTATGTGTCTTGGTGTTGTCTTTCGGTTCCTTCTGTTGGGAGGTCTGTGTACTTCCATGGTCTGAATGATTATTTCCTCCCCCAGTTTGGGAAGTTTTCAGCAATTATTTCTTCAAAGACACTTTCTATCCCTTTTTCTCTCTCTTCTTCTTCTGCTACCCCTATAATGTGGATATTGTTCCTTTTTGATTGGTCACACAGTTCTCTTAATATTGTTTCATTCCTGGAGATCCTTTTATCTCTCTCTGTGTCAGCTTCTCTGCATTCCTGCTCTCTGATTTTTGTTCCATTAATGGCCTCTTGCATCTTATCCATTCTGCTTTTAAGTCCTTCCAGAGATTGTTTTATTCCTGTATTCTCCCTCCTTAGCTCTTGCATAGTTCTCTACAAGTCCATCAGCATGGTTATGACCTTTATTTTGAGTTCTTTTTCAGGAAGATTGGTTAGGTCTATCTCCAGGTTCTGTCTCAGGCATGGATGTCTGTGTGATTCTGGTCTGGATCAGATTCTTCTGCCTTTTCATGGTGATGGGCAGATGGTGCGTGTGTCAGCTGGCAGAACAAAATCCCTTTCTGGTTGGTCCTCGCATTCCTCTCCTGGGAGTACAGCTTCCCCTAGTGGCTTATGTTAGGCCATTGTGCACAGATGGGGTCTCTGATTCTTGCCCGGCTGCTGCGGGGCTCCGCGCAGTTGCTGTGGGCGTGGCTGGCCTTAGGCTGCTGCTCCACTATGGCAGGGCCATCCTGGAGGAGGAACGGGCGGGAGACTGTTTACTGCCGTGAGGGGCCTCTGAGCTGCACCTCCGCCCAGGGGGTTAGGGTGCCCGGAGTTCCCTGGGATTCCCAGCTGCTGGGCTGAGTGTGCTGGGACACTTCTGTCCAGTTGTGAGGCCCCTGTCCCTTTATGTCTTTCAAAAAGCACTCGCTTTTCTTTTTCCCAGGGGCACCAGCTGTGGGGACCTGCTCACAGATTTTACTGTCCTGTTTCCCTAGTATTCAGCACCCTACGCACTGTGTGTGTGCGCTCCTGGTGCGGATGTCTAGGGCTGGGTATTTAGCAGTCATGGGCTCCCTCTCCCTCCCTGCTCTGATTCCTCTACTGCCAGGAGCTGCAGTAGGGGTGGTGCTCGGGTCCCGCCGGGCCGCGGCTTGTATCTTACCTCCTTTGCAAGGCACTGGGTTCTCGCAGGTGTAGATGTAGTGTGGCTGTTGTCCTGTATCTTCTGGTCTCTCTTTTAGGAATAGTTGTATTTGTTGTATTTTCAAAAATATACGTTTTTGGGAGGAGATTTCTGCTGTCCTACTCACACTGCCATCTTGGCTCCTCTCCACTTGCATATGTTTTTAAAACAGTTCTAAAATTGCTAGGGGACAAATACTGTGTTGTGTAAATACACTATGGCTTAGATGACAGACCAGTTTTAGAACAGAGAGTCTCTCTGGGTTGGGGAGAAGGGAGCATTGGAGTGGGGAGGGGTCAAAGAGGGCTTTTAACTATATCTGTGAGAATTTTTTTCCTTTAAAAAGAATTTGAAACTAAATGTGGAAAAATGTAAACATGCTCAATTGACTTATGGCTGTTGTTAGTATAATTTTTTGAAGAGTGCTAATGCCCATTTTCCTCCCTGAGGAGAACCGTGTACTTGACTGTCCTTAACAGCTTTTCCAGGCTGTGCCTCATGGGAATTGCAGAAACTCTAGGCTGTGCCACCCTGCTCCCAGCATCGCTGTTCATCAGTAGCCACCCAGGTATCAAGCCTGTTTCCTCTGGATAAGGTGGTGCTCTGAGGGGTTCTCTGTACTGTGTGTCCCAGGATCTGTAGCCCACGTGTGTGTAAGCTCCGTGGCGAAGAGCTGGACAGGAGGGATAGGAATCACAGGCTCGGGGAGCCCGAGTCAGAGCTCACAGTGTAGGAACAGTCTGCAGAAGCACTTGTGGGAGGGTTCCTTAAGCCTGACCCAGGATTTGTACTAGAAGCATGTTCATCTTTACATACCCCTCCCCTTCCTTTGGGTCACTTCAACAGCCAGAACGGCTAAAGGTGTGTGTATCCAGTGCAAGGGATCAAAATAGTTGGGATGCCTGTATAGATCATTCATGAAAGAATGATAGGTGCTGTCAGAGGCCCTTACAGTGGCTAAAGGCAGTTGGACTTCTTAGCAGAATCTGGGTATTAAGTTTTCAGTCTTTGGAGAATTAGGATCCCTTAGACTGGGATCGGGGCTCTTAAGTAAGAGTGCGGGCTTTAGGCAATGTGGCATGAATCCCAGGTCTGTGCCTTACCACCTTGAACAGGTTGCTTAGTCTCTGTAAAGTGAACATTAATAGCAAAAAAAAAAAGTGACGATAATAGCTACTCCATCAGGTAACATGGAGGATTAAATGAGGTAATGCACACCTAGCCTAGTGCCTGGCATTTCATCATACAGCAAGCTTCTGACATGGAGTATTTGCTCTATTTTACAGATGAGGAAACTGAGGCAAAGAGGTTGAGAATTTGCCTTATAAAATGAATCTATGGTTCCCTTTGGGGAGGAGTAAGGAGGCAGTAATTGGTGGGGCATATGCAGGATTTTGGGGTATTGGAATGTCCTATATCTTAACCTGGGTGGTGGTTACTTGGCTACATTTACTTTGTGATAACTCATTAAACTGTACTTAGAATTTGTGCCTTTTATGTATGTTTTATCAATAAAAAAATTTATTTAAACAAATGTTTTGCTTGAGAGCATACGTCTAATAGTGTGATCTGGGGTTGAAGCACCCTTATCTGTAACATCATACTGCGTCTCAGCTTATTAGTATTTTTAACACTACTACTGGACAGTCAGGAAAGATTGATTTATTCACTGTCAGAATAACCACTTTCAAGCCAAGAACCACAACTGAGTGTCTCTATTTTGCTACCACAAAACCCAGCGTGGGGCCAAGGTCTAGATAACCTCATAGCCACTCTTCCTAGGGGCTTCCCAGATCGGGGGGTCAGCAGCCTGGCGGCATGGAGGGGAGAGCACTGCCCCTGGAGTGCAGTCATGCCTTACCTTCACTGTTCCTCTCAGCAGGAGACCAGCCTGGCATGCTGTGCAGTTTCCGGATCCCTGGGGCCTGGTCCTGTGCTTGGTCTCTGAACATCCACGCGAGTAATTGTTTTAGTACAGGTGAGCCATGGCTGCCTCCCAGGCCCCCTGAGTAAAGAATTTAACAGACCTTAAACCCCTCCCCATAAGTCCCTCTCCCGACACTGGAAGTGGCACTTGTCTCTCCACCCCATCTCTCTCTGTCAGGCTTGTCTCGGCGGGTTCTGGTGACCAACATGGTGACGGGACACCAGCAGTCATTTGGGACCAGCAGTGATGTCCTGGCCCAGAAGTTTGCTGTCCTGGTTGGTTGGACTGGGAAGGGTGTAGTTTGCTAAATGTGGGAATTTTGCTGGGCTGAAATTGGATTTCCCATGTGGCATCTAGTCCTCTTCTCTTTTGGGTGGGAAAGGGCATCAGAAAAGATTAATGGATTACTTGGGGAATATGTCCGCACTGAATGAAAGTTAGCTGATCCTGGCTAAGCTGGCTTTAAAGGACCTCCTATTTAATTGAACTGTTAGCAGTACTTATGTCCCAATTCATAGATAGCACTGAATAGTTTCATACACAGCTTCCAAATCACACATTTTATAAATTTAAAAATCAAAATTCTGGTCATTACTACACTTCAAAAACTTGCCCCATAGAAAATGCCATCATTCTTTTAAAGTATGGAGGAGGGAGTCTGTCGATTGGCTTTCCACAGTGAGCAGACTTGATTATTCAGATTTTTTCAGCCATCTCCGCACTTTCTGGGACCCCAGGTCTTACCTGCACCTCCTCTCTTCCACTGCATACTCATCACTCCAGCTTTCCTGAAAACTTTGGTGGAGATGGTGCTGTTCCCTGGGCTTCAGAGTGAGGCTTTAGGGGTCAGTGCCGCCAGTGGGGAGCACACTGGACAAATGTGGTCCAGTGCTTTTACCTTCTACCCATGAAGCACCCCTCTAACTTCACTGAGGCCCAAACCCCGACCAGCCCATCTCTCCGCACACCTTTAGGCCAGGGTCTGGCGTAGGGGAGGTGAGGCACACGCTGTGTTCCGCCACCCCTCCCCACCTTGCAGGGGGGTACCAAGCTGTCCCCTTTCCACAGTCTCCTTTGCTGTTTAACGGCTGTCGTTCCGGGGAGATCTTTGCCATTGATCTGCGCTGTCGAAATCAGGGCAAGGGCTGGAAGACCACCCACCTGTTCCATGACTCAGCAGTGACCTCTGTGCAGATCCTCCAAGAAGAGCAGAACCTGATGGCGTCTGACATGGCGGGGACGGTAGGAGTAGCACGGACTTCCTCAGGCTGCTGGAGCTGCTGGCCCAGGGCCCTGCGGGGGAAAGGGCTCTGTGCGAGCCAGTAGCAGGGGCAACGCAGCTGGGGCCCAGGCGAGGTGCATGCAGTGTGGCACAGCTGTTGTGTTGCTCACCGGAAGCCCAGTCTGCTCTGGACAGACAGAACTGCTCTTGTACTTCTACTGGACTCCAGAGCTCAGGAGTTAGATTCAGATTTTCCTAACCTGAAGAGATCTTTGGAGAGCACCTCACCCCTCCCTGGCCAGGATTCACCAGCGTACCTGCTGAACCCTCCCTGACGGCACTTGTGTTTCCTCCCACAGATCAAGCTGTGGGACCTGCGGACCAGTAAGTGTATAAGGCAGTATGAAGGCCACGTGAACGAGTATGCCCACCTGCCCCTACACGTGCACGAGGAAGAAGGAATCATGGTGGCAGGTACCGGAGGAAGGAGAGGGAAATTCCATACCAATACTATTGGTTAGAGCTCCCAGCAATTTGAGCAGCAGAGAGAGAAATCACTCTAAAACAAAACTGAATAAAGGATTGTTGGGGTCAGGAAGGCTGGATGGGATGCAGAGTTGGACATTAATAAGCAACAGTTGAAGCATCCACCAGTCAGACAGCCCTTTGTCCCCACATTAGTGGGAAAACATCTTTCAGTAACAGGCAAGTTAGGTGCAGGAAACAGCAGCCTGGAACACCTGCGTATGGGGTCTAAGTCCTCATTCAGTGAGACCCTTATTCCATCATCCAGCTGTCCTGTTGACAAGCTTGGGCTCCCTGTTCTTTGTGCTCACACTTCCACCAGAGGATGCTAAGAAAATAAATTAAGTTCATGGTAAAGGAACTGATTCCTGGTCCCTTTAACACCATCCCTGTGGGTCCACAGTCCGTAGAATAGGAGCAGAGCTGTCCACACAGCCCCTTTGTAAAGGGTTACAAGTTGATCACAGATTATGCTGTTCCTGGGCTGTAAAATAGTCTGAAATAATGAAACTCGAGTGGTTTGACAAATGAAATAGTGAGCCCTTGACATTAAGGAATATGTTCTCAACTTCACAAGTCCCCAAATTTGCTAATACTCCTATGGAAAGTACTTATTCCCCATGAAACTTTTCTGTGCCTAAGAAGCACTTTGTTAGAACTTTGTTCGCCTTATGTATTATACCAGCAATTAACTCCCTAAATTTTAAGTCCATTTTCCACAAGTTTTCATCTCAGAAGAGTTTCTATTATGTTCTGGATAATAGAAAGATAAGCCTTGTGGAGAGACAGATGTCAGCGGGCTAGCTGCAGTAATTTGTGAACTGCCCGACCTGAATTCATCCAGAGTCAAGGTAGCACCTGTGGTCAAGAGTCCCTCCAGTGGCCAAAAGCACAAATGTGAAATCCATCAATATCTAGGGTCCACCCCAGTCTATCCTCTGAAGATCTCCAGGAGCATACATCATGCGTCCAGGCTACCCCAGCCAGCGGCTATAGGTGTCACATTCCTCACAACAGTATGCCCCAAAGACTATCTGGTCTTATGACCTAAACCTTGAAACTAGAAAGCTCCAGGGAGAGTTGTCAGCTGGTTGTCCCCAGGATGTAATGAAGTCAAGAGATCTTCCTGGTTACCCTTTCATAAAAAAATAATTCAGTCGCATGTCCTTTAGACCAGGTGGGCTGGGCTGCCTCTTTAACAGCCCTTGACACCAAGAGAAGCAGAATGCCCACCCATCCAGGATGCCCGATGAGCCATCCACGGTGTCACACAGCCAGCCAGTGTGTCCTGTCACTTGTGTACCTGCAACTAGTTACGGTTCTAGAGGACCAGGGTGACCCATAATTTGATTTGCAAAAAGTACTTATTATCAGCAGAAATAACTTCTGTTTATGAGTTTGTGTTTTGACTCACATGGAATCATGAGAAGCCATGTCTACATATAAACAAGTTCTCTGCATTCTCTAACTGGCCACTTGTCTCTTGCTCCTAGTGGGCCAGGACTGCTACACGAGAATCTGGAGCCTCCGTGATGCCCAGCTGCTGAGAACCATCCCCTCCCCGCACCCCACCTCCAAGGCCAACATTCCCAGCGTGGCCTTCTCTTCTCAGCTCGGAGGCTTCCGGGGAGCACCAGGGTTGCTCATGGCTGTTCAGCAGGACCTTTATTGTTTCTCATACAGTTAATTCTGCAGGGTGCAGCCTGGATGGATGTGGATTTGACTTAAGAGAGTGAAGAGTAGCCATACTTCTACCACAATGGCTGTTGCCAGTGAGGGCATTTTAAATGGATGCTTGGTGTATATGGGGTCTCTTTTAGCCAGGTACTGGGGAGATAGTGCTATGTTTTATGTGGAGACACTTCAGTAAAGTTATTTTGGTTAAGTAGTGGACTCAGCTTAAAAGTCCTTTTCATAAAAGGTACCTATTTCCTTTTCTTGTTGAATTCCTTCGAATAATCCCTTCCCCCTAACCTTTCTTTTTTAAACAAAAAACTTTGTATAAGGGCTGAAGTTTGGCAATAAGTAAAGTGGCTTTCAGCAAAAGCCCTTTTGAGAAGCCTAATGATTTGACTGGATGAGCATGTTGATAGCCAGTGCCTGGGTCCCAGAAAGACAGGTGTTTATTCTTGAGGAAGCCAGCGGGAGAAGAGCAAAGGGGCAGTTCTTTCTGAGTCTAGAGAGAAAGACTTAAGGCTGGAGTTTGGAATCATTAAATCAGCCTTCTCAAACTATCAGAAACAGATCTCTAGGGTTCTCCTTTTATTATCATTCATAGGCATTGGAAGACGTACCTTTGTAAATGCTAGAGGTTTTAAACAGGACCTCGCATGCCTCTGTTGAGACACCTCCTGAATGTTAGGTACAGCAGCTCCTGTTTCTATCATGGTGACTTAAACGTCAGATTCAAGGGCCCCATCGCAAAGAAAACTGGCTTTGAGTTTTTGTAATCTAGGAGAAGCAATCTGTGAGATGTTCATACAAAGTGTTAAAGAGCCTGTCTTCCTACTAAACAATAAGCCAGAAGGAAGCATGGCATGGTGTGTTGCTTTTCAGTGATTTAGAAGGTCATGCTGCTTGGCTACTGAAGCAACCAGCTGCAGTAATGTCTATTCAGAGCTGCGTCTGCCCCTCCAGGTCTGCTCTGGGCCCTCCTCTACCTGTCGTGCAGGACCCGATATGCTGACCTCCAGACGGTGTCAGTGGGCTCAGCCAATGGGAAGTACCAGCAGAAAGCAGATGGCAGGGCATTAACATGGGATTGTTGGTTCTCTGGCTCCTTTCCTGCTGGGTGTTGGGGGGTTTTGGCTGTGTCTTTCCCCCACCCAAGGCCACAGCTTCTTTTGGGTTCCAGTAACTTCTCTCCCTTTGTTCCTTCAGACCTACAGTTGGGAAATGCCACCTCACCATTGCTAACCCAGGATGCTTCACCAGTTAAACTCTCTTCAGTTACCACCTTGCACATCACATGTTTCTTGCCAGAACCCTAACACAACTTAATGTGTAGAGAACCAAATCCAAAAAGAGAGTATCAGAATAACAAATATTCTATTTAAGTTTCTAACAAATATTCTATTTAAGTTTCATATTTTATGAAGAACTTCCCCCATCTTATCTGATTTTATAACAACCACAAAGGATAGTAGTAATAATATAAAAGTTATTAGCATGATTTTACAGGTAGAGAAGCCTTGGCACAAAGTCATTGACTGACTTGCCTCAGATCACAGACCTTAACCTAAGTGGAGAGCTGGGACTTGGAACCAGAAGACTTGAGATCACATTCTCTACTTGTTCATGCCCCTCCAAGCCACTGACAATACTTAACATGTATCACACCCAGGAAGGACTATGGAGAAATCAGGAAGTGGCTCCATGCAAGTGTAAATACGCAGTACTAACATTTCATATTTAATCACCAGGTAAATGGATTTCTCTGGCATTCACTGGTGGGTAGGGAGCTTGCTTATTACCAAAATTCTTGTGTTTAATCATTTGGATTTTGTCCCTGTCTCTGCCACCACAGCATACTGATTGCACATAGGTCCCAGAAAGTATCTATATTATTGAAGGGTCCAAGTAGCCACTGTCACTACAGGGTCATTAGGATTAACTTTGAGGACGTGCTCCTGCCCAGGAGCACACAGGCATGCCTGGTGAGCCATGTGACCTAACATCTACCCATACTTCCATCTCTTTGGGTTCTGAGTCACCACCATACACAAGTTCATTCCTTATAGGAGCTGCAATTTAGAATCACTGGTATTGCACACTGAATGCAGAGCTTTCCCACAGTTCTGTACTGACCATTTCAGTGGAGCTGAGCACCCATGGGTGACTATTCAGTCCAACTCTCTTGTCTCCCCAAACAGTGGAGACAGTCTGACTACTTAAGAGAATACCAGGTGAGTGCTGACATGGTGTGGGCCCTATCCCCACATACCTTCTTAACTTCTCATTTGAAGTGTGCCATACCACAAGTTCCTTGTTACGCAAATAATACTTACCAAAAAAATCATTTAAATCTTAGGCTTTTAAGGGGGGAGGAGGGGAGTCTTCAAACACTAAATTAAACTTAGCAATTTGTTCTTGGTCTGTGGTTAGCAGTCACGGTACCTACATTTGGTCTAGTTTGTATGAAAAATGGTTAAACTTCGCTGAGAAGTTGATTAAGCATTTTGGTCTGTTTGCTTATTAACACAGTATCCCAAACATCAGTGCATCACACAGTCTCAAAGAAAGCCTTTTTCACTTACAGGCCTCAGCACTTGACCCTGCACCCCAGGTGACAGTAGAAGGTATAGAATGAGCAGGCAATGTTGGCAGCAGCCCTGAGCCGTGATAAATACTTTGCGAAGTGGCCCCGTGTTTGCTTATTGCCTTCTAAACAGAGAGGAAAGAATAGCACACACTGGTTACCAAAAATGCCCACAGATAAACGCCTGCCTCACATTCCATCTTGCTGTGCAGCCACCCTAGAATTCAGCTGACCCAGTGTACTCTGGAGGGCACTGACAGCCTCTAATGCTCCAGGAGGTGTCCTTTGAGACCAGATTAGCCCCCACTTGCTGTCAGCCCTAGATCTGTCCCAGTCTAAATCTTTCCCGTAACCATCTCCGAAAACAGCTGCAGGCTAAACTCAAGACTCTTCTTCCATTGCTCTGTGTATGTTGCTGAAAACCTGTGGGCCTACTGGCAGAGTGGTCTGCCACTTCAGACCACCCACTAGGTGGCCACAGCCACAGAATGATCTTCCTAGAAGATTCTTGCACTCACTGGCTTTTTGTGCCTCAAAATAAAATGTGGCCTTTTGATATTTGATCACATGTGTCCCATCTCCACCCCCACCTGGTGCTCTCAGGACAAATGTTTCAAGTTCCTCCCCATCTGGGCCGCCTCTGCTCAAGCCATCCTCTACTCCTTTTCATCTATAAAAATATAAGTGTTAAGTCTCAGCTTCAGAGAAACCTCCAGGAAGCCTCAACACTCACCAACAGTAGACACTGTTAAATGAACAATTTTTGCCTGCATTATTCCCTTCCAATTCTTAGAACCCTCTGAAGTAGTTGATGGTCACTCCAATATACTGAAAAAACTGAAAAGAAAATGATTTGCCCGAGGTCGTCTGCTAAGTGGTTGGGCCAGCAGGGTCTCTTGCTCCAAGAATATTTTAGGCCCCTTGTGTTTGAAGGAATGGAATTTAATTTTCCTCTGTCAGTCTAAGATCTCGTCGTCTTGACAGTTTTCCCTCTTTCCTCGGGACCAGCTGCCTGTCTCCTACAGATGCCTTGTGGGCTGGTTGTCCTATCTTTGCTAGAATGTCCCTACTTGCTCCTACCACCCACCCTCTTCTACTCAAGCTTCACTTGAATAAAAGCTGTTAGGAGAGGAAAAAGGACTTTCTCTGCAGAGGCCAGAATCAGCAAAAGCACATAAATAGAAATGCTGCCAATAGCTCAGAGCAGCAAGAACAGGTAACATGGCAACCCATTTAGGCTGTTGGAGTTGCACTATCTTCCAGACAGTAATGGTAACTGTCTAGGGATAGAGCCAGAGCCTTAGAGAAATTCAGGCTAGAGTTAAGGATTTCAGTTTCATCAGTGTAAAGAGGCAGTTGAAATCATGGCAGCAGATGAAATAACACAGTATTAGGATCATATATGGGTGGATTCCACTGAAGTCCACCAGACACAGAAGAACAGGCTGTGGTCTACAAATGGCCTTTTCAAAGATGGCTCTGTTCATGTGAGCATATCCCTGAATTACAGATCCTCCAGCCCCTAAACTCCCATATGGATGTTAGTGCTGAGAGTTTTCTAGTTACAAAGGAAGAAAAAATTACACTGGTGTAATTTAAACAGAAGGTAGGACACAGATTTTATACGGTAACATGAACTCCATTAGTGCTAAGAGTTAATGGGCTACCATTGTAGGTTCAATTGTCTCTTCCTGATGGATGGAAGTTATGAAATTGAAAATGCAATCATGGTTGCAAAATTACCATTTTTTCAACAACTGGAGGCTTAGTTCCAATGTTACAGGCTACACCAATCCACAGTCTCTAAACCAGTTCATGTTTTTAGTGAAAGAAGCATTACTGTCCTTTACCATGAGAGCCTCTGAGGACAGTGGAAATGATCAATATATAGCTAAACCCTCCTGATATAACAGTAGCAGGTATCTTGATTTTTTTTTTTAAGTTTCCTCTTAAGGAAAAGATACCTTATCCGACCGCAAAAGAACCCTCAATGTAAGAAGGGGAAAGTAAATTTAAGGGAAGCTCTACACAGCAATGTGAATGGCAGGTGGTACACAGCAGAATGCAGACTGATCACTGGCATCATCAGGCCTGCCTGACTCAAACCCTAGCTTTGAGTCTTGTTTACCAGGCAACCTGGGCTTCTGAGCCTCTCCAAGCCAGTGTCTTCAGCTATAAAACATGAACATACTATCTACTTTCCAGTGCAGTTGTGAGACTTAATTGTCAACCATATAAAGCTCCTAGCACAATGCCTGGTATATATCAGGTGCCTAAATATCAATTTTTTTCTAATTCCCAAATAAGTCAAACCAGCAGAGTAAAACCCAAGGGATGTGTAAGGATCCCACTGGGCCCCATTGCCTAGGAGACTGCTAAATTCTCAGCCACAGGCTGCAATCTTTAGTCATAGCTCTCAGAGCAATGATTGACAACCATCTCCTCCACCTATAAGCAAGTCTTTCAAGCAGAAAGTTATTAAGCCTTTATGTAGCACCCCTCTGAAGGGAGTCGGGAGGACTGACCTATGCTATTAGATGTTGGGACAATGGGAACTCATGGCAAAAGAGACCAGGAGATCCTGGGGTAGTTTATGTTCTGTTTCCTCAGCTGGGGGGCAGGTGATTATGTGTTCAGTTTGAGAAAATTAATCAAGCTGAATTGTGTACATATGATAGCTCAATAAGTTTTTTTAAGCCTTTGTTTTTACCCTGTATTTACCTGGTTGTCACTGTCAGTCCATATTTAGTTGGGGCTGGGATTGGTATAGAACTCCTCGTCTGTTACTTTGACACAGGTTCCATTCCTCTACCGTGTTGGTCTGATTAGTGTAAGGAGGGAAATTGAGCAGCATTTTCTCCATCACTCCCCTGTGGTCTGGCGGACGCACATGCTCGGGTGCCCTCACACAGCTGAGCCAAACATCCAGGTCTAGCGGGAGCCACCACCACACACATCCCTCCCCCACAGGCCCTCCCCACTCACCCAAAAGGTAGAGAAGGTAAGGATGAAAGGAACAGGAGCAGGGAAGAGAAAGTCGAGAAAAGCAGATGGGGCAAGGAAGGTGGTAAGGGACAGACCAGAGTGTCAGTGGACAGGAGAGTGAGGAGACAGCGGAGGATGGCCACGGGAGCTGAACAGACAGGGCAGGGCAGGGAAGGAAGAGGGGAATGATGGATGAAAAGATAGAAAACAACTTCTCAGGGTTGCCACGGGTCACTGGTAACACCTAATCTCATCTGTGAGGAAGGACTCCCTGTGGACTGTGATCCCACAGCTACCAGAGTGAAACCCTGAGAACACAAGTTGGGAAGCAATCATTCCCCCTGTGCCACACACCACCCCGTGTGGCTACCTGCTGTGGAGCCAGGCTACCCAAGCACAGCCCATACTGGGGCTCACCCGCTCTGACCAACGCCCCATCTGCAAGTCTGGTCTTGCCTCCACTGTGGAAATTTCTGAGGAGCTGAAGCAGGACAACGCGTGGGCAATGAGCTCATGTGGAGCTCCCCCACCAGTAGTAAGAGCTCTGTGACCATCAGTCGTCACACCCTGAAGGATGTGGTCCACGGGTGCTAGTCCCAGGTAGCCAACAGAGCTGGGGCATGCCATCGAACACCTGGGGCAAACAGCCAGGCATCAGGAGGTTAAAACCTAAGTGATAGAGGTTTTATGGTATTTGGCTATGCTTTTTCAAATTCACGTTAGAGTAATAAAATGAGGCACTTAAAGGAACAGTATTATCACCCTAGAAATAATCCCTTTCACTTGGCTGCTCCTCTAAAAATCAGTGCTGCTTTCCCATCACCAGAAAGAGGGAGCAGGGGTACTGATGGAGTTAAAGGAAAGAGCGCAGTCCACACTCAGCAGGAAGATTCTTTTATAATGGCGAATTTGATCATATGCAGTACTAGGGTGGGGCCTCAGTCCCTGGGCCGCAGGAGACAGTGAGGGAGCAGTTCTGAGGAGGACCGATGCATTCCAGGGCTCACGTCACACTGACCAGCCAGGAATGACTGCCACGTACCTCCCTGAAGCTCAGCCCACCGAACAGTTCAGTCAAGAACTATGTCACTTCTAATTCTTCATTTTTGGCCATCAAAGATAAAATCCACCAGGATGACAAGATTTCAGCACAACAGTCTCTCTCCAGTCACGACAGATACGGGCGTTCCCAGCTCTTGATGAGAAACAGTACTTCATTTGACTTCTCTTCCAAGAACCAGAGCGATAGAATTTTTTCTTATCTATTGAAATATTTATATATGCTTAAAAAAGAAAAGCTAACAGTCCATTCTGTGCTGCTTCCCTGGAAGATTTCTCATGATCACCCCTCCAATAGCTAGAGGGGCCATGTGTCAGGGAACAAAGAATTAAGACACTTCAAAATAAGCAGTAAGAATCCTAGTGCAACACTCTGAAACAGATAATGGGCTCGAGGGGGCTGGAGAGAGAAGGAAGCAGGTGCTCTGTTTAGGAGCGGGACATGGCCTTTGGGCAAGCATAGTGGGTACACAGAAGCGTCAACAAGCAGGGAACACTGCTGGGGAAGGCCCATTTCCTTCCGCACACCCCCTAGGTAGGAGCCAGGGACTTCTTGTCACCTGCACTTTGACTTAGAGTAATAGTGCAGACTTGTCAGGGCCGAGGACCCCACCCCTCAGTCCCATTCACTCTGGTGACCTGCATGCTCAGTTGAGTGGTCTCTGACTGAAACAGGTGTAGGCCCAGAGTTGGCGTCCAACTTCAGAGAGCCCAAGCAGATTCCCTTCAAACTGTCCCGAGCAGGAAGTGACTGGGAAGCTCACTCCCCCAGGCAGCTGGGAGGCATGGGAAAAGGCAAGGAAAGGAGATGCTCTGAAAGCTCAAGAGAGAAGCAGCAAAAGGTAATTAGCAACACAGTGGCTTTGGACCTGGCTTGGTTTTGTGGGGAAGACCTGCTGCCACTGCCACCATATCCCTGTACCAGGGACAGACTGTGTTAAGTCTTCACAGCCAGCAGCAGCCTGAATAGACTGCACATTCCTTTCATATATATATACGTATGTGTGTGTGCATATATATGTATGTATTATTTTTAACTGAAATAAATGTAATGGATTCAGGTTTATTCCCCTTTGCTATAATAACTGCTCAGTCCCCTGCCCTGAGGGGTTCACACCTTCAGGCCTGCAGCCAGGCTCACGCCAGCTGCCAGCTGCCCCACCCGCACCACGGGAAAGTGGCCCAGGATGAGTAGAGAGGACATACACCACAATAGGTGACTGGGAGGAGGGCCTACCTCGAGACTTCTATTTCTAACCCTGAGAACCTAAGGAACTGTGAAGGACTCGGAGAGGGAGCTGGGGTTAAAGGTCACCAGGCTTTTTATTGCAGTTAAAGCAGACTCTGACAGGATGGTCCCAGCCTCGAGAGGGGACAGCCCGGCGGTCATGGGAGCACTCGTCACAGAAGCCCTGTCCGCAGGCCCGGCAGTGGTGCTTGGAAAGCTTGATGCTGAACTCCTTCCGGCAGTTGTGGCAGTGTAGTATCTCGTGGTCGGGCACCCAGTACGCTGGCCTGGCTGCATCCTTAACCAGACCTACAGCAGGGAAGGAAGCACAGTGGGTGGGGCACATGGAACTCAATACCCAAGTCCCACGGGGCAAGAAGGCATTCACTGGTTTGCAACCCAAAATTTGTTGATGCCCAGCCTCCACCTCATACCACCCAAGTTGGAATCTCTGGGGCTGGGGCCTAGGCATTGATATTTGTGTTTCTACTATTAAGCTCTCCAGGTGATCCTAAATTGCAGGGCAGCTGCATTAAGAAGCTGTTTTAGACTCTTAATTATTTTCATTTCTTCTTGCATAAATATTAGAAACACAGCTTTAATAATTGATCTATAATTATATGGCCTTAGGAAATAAAACTTCATCTCTGGGGCTGACCATAAAGAGTCTGACCATAAAGAAGTCAGACTCTGGAGTCAGGACATACCCTCATTCAAACCCCAGTCCAACTGAGCGCAAGTTAATTAGTTATCGGATTAAGAGAGGTTACTTAACTTTTCAGGGCCTTGGTTTACTTATCTTTACAAACCCACCTTCAAGAGCAGCCATGGGGATTACAAGAATAACGTATCTAACACACTGGACTGGGCCCCAACAGCCAGGGAGAGCTCAGCAGGCGAGCAGAGTCAGCAGGCTCTCTCTGCCAAGCAAGGGCAGCCCCTGCCTCTCCCAGTTACCCCCGAGGCACATGCAACTTGAGCTTCAAGTCTGGGCAAATCCATCTCTTCCTGCATCCTTGAGTCAAAAGCTCATCATCTGCTGGTTTTGTGACCCACAATGGTTAAATCTGCTCTAATTCTCATCACTGCCTACCCAGTAGTCCTTGGTCTCTTCCCTACAATGGGCTGAAATACCCCACTCTCAGCCGGCCCTGCTAAGCCCTCCACACACTGGTGGGTTTCCCTTCCTCTCCCTCTTCCCATCCTGGCTATAAGTACCTCTCACATCTAGAGAGGAGTGGCTATCTTAAATCCTAAATGAATAATAGCTTGGCTGGCATGAAAAATTAAAGACAGCCACAAAGTCTGTGACACTCTGTCCCCTCCTCTTTCATCTAGGCAGGCTCTGTGACTACAGGAGACTACAGTATGAGTGCCAGCTTCCATCCCAGGCCTTAAGAGACTGGCAGCTTTTACTTCCTATCTTTTGGAACATTCACTCTTAGAGCCCTGAGCCACCATATAAAGAGTCCAACTGCTACTGCAGGAACCACATGGAAAGGCCTGGAAAATACATAGAGAGAGAGGGGTTTACTGAGCCCAGCCTTCCAGGTATCCCTACCAAGGCACCCAGCGTGTAGCTGAGGTTGGCGTGGCCCCTGGGGATGAGTCCAGCTGCCACAGTAGAGTATCAGGTAGTAACTCCAGGCAGTGTCACTTAGAGCAGACTAATTACCCTTCTTGACTCAAAGTTGTCAGACATGACAAAATGGTGGTGGGTTAAGCCTTTACATTTTCAGATAGTTGGTTATGCAGCAAAAGATGGTATAAGAGGATGGCCACCAGGAATTAACCCCAAACCACTAAGGTATTCTGTAGAAGCAAGCAAATATACATTTTTAGTCAACTTGCTGCCCAACTTTAGGTCAGCAAGCCTTTGACAAAATGACAGCCCAGGGTACTCCAAACCCTCTCATCCCACATACCCTACACCCAAGAGAAGCACTGCCAGGCCCACCTAGTGGTATGTCAATGGCTGTCACCACAGCTCCCAAAGTGTTCTGCACGGCCTCGCCCACCTTCCGAGCAATCAGCGTCCCAGCTTCGTCGTCTGCCTGCACCTCAGTAACATCTACAGACAATGATAACGGAAAAGCCATCACCTCTTAGTCATTTCCCAAATAGAAAACTCAGAGCAATGGCACAGCACTTCCAGATTCTTCTCCCAGGGTGCCACTCTGCTGACTTGCAATGATCTCATCCAGACTGTGGGTCAGGTCAACCCAGACTCTGAAACTGCACCAGTGACATCTGTTAGTCCTTTACCTCAGCTCTCTGGTGCTTTTTATAACCCTCCTTTAATGTAAGCCAGAAGGGTTCTTGTAGCATGACCGAGAACCTTGTCCAGGGAGAAGACTCAGTATAGGCTAATATCTGGTAAGCACAGAACAGATTTAACTGCTCCGCCAAGGAACTGCACCCCCACCACTCTGATAAGGAAGAGCTCAGAGGATGGCTGAATGAGACCAAGGGAGCAATTGGTCTCAGGGTAGTCATGCGATTAGGGTCAGGCTTGGAGCAACGGGTGTCTGGTCCCAGTGCCAAAGAGAAAGGTTCCCCCTCCTCCCTTGCAGCTCATGGGCCCTGTGTTACCTAAGTGGACATTCCTGGCTTCATAGCAGTTGTCACACACCCGCACGGGTGCAGGGCCCCAGCCCCGCTCGGGCACGGGCCGGGTCTTAGATGAGCAGCCGTCACAGAAGCCCTCCCCGCAGGCCCGGCAGTGATGCTTGGTGTCGTTATCTTTAAAGGACGTAGCACATTTGCTGCAGCTCTGTTCCAGGCCCAAAACAGAGAGGCAGGTATAGTTAGTATCTGCTCAGCTAAGAGTGCCAGCTAGACCCAAGGGAAAGGCCACAGAACCATCTTGGAATGACAGGACCCTGACAGCCCTAACAGACCTCCAACCACTGATGCTCAGCTGTGATTATCATTTTCTCCCAAGAGGGGCCTAGAAAGGCACCTCAAATCTATGTGGCTGATTTACAGGGACTATGCTAATGCTAACCAGAAAAGCAATGAGAACTCTTTTTTTTTTCCATGGCTTCTCAGAAGAGCCTCTGGGAAGTTGGTGAGGATGGAGTCCCCTGTCACAAAGTGCTGGGGCCACAGCTGGGTGTTCCCTTGCTGTGGGTGCTGTAGATTTATATATAAAGCCAAGGATGACCCTAGATGACTTCCAAAGTTCCTTTCCTCCAGATTCTGTATCTATGACCTCAGGCACCTGTTTAATAATAATTGGCCCTTGCAGGTAAGGAAACTAAAATCCACCATGAAGAAAATACTGGCAAAATAACACAAAGGAAAACCAGAGGGCAAGGAGGACACTGGTGCCTCAATGTAGCCCACCCTCTCCAAATACTCTAAGGGCTAACCTGACTGGGAGAGAAACTCCACATCTCCCTCACCGAGCAAGCTGGGACGGGGCGAAGCAGCACAGGCAGAGTGGGCTATGCCAGGGAGGCAGGGGGTCCGGCCGCAGCATACCAGGATCTGCGAGTTGGGCCTCCAGTAGGCAGGGGCGATCTGATCTGTCAGCCAGGACGTGACCGCCTTGGTGGGCCCAAGGCTGAGCTCTGACACCGACTGAGCCATGAAGTTCATCCCATCCAGGAGGCGCTGGGCAGCATTGTTGTTGTCCTTCAGAAATCCATCGGCCTGAAATGAAAATGCAGGTACCCATGACACTCTGAGTGAAGGAGGTCAAACGGGAGGAGGGAGAGGGTCTCAGGTAGGCTGTTCCACTCAATCACAAACCCCCAGCAGAGAAGAATGAGGACACACCAAGCATCCCTCTGGCATCTGGGCAGCCGCACACCCAGCCTAGCCATTGCTGATGTGCTCTATTCAGAGTGGCCTTAAGACCCGATGCACCACTAACTGCACAATCCAGTACGTACTCTGCCCCTAAGCGAGGTATCCATGATATCATTTTAAGATGACGCCTCCTCCAGGAAGCCCCCCACCCAGGCTGCATTCGGAGCCCTTCCCCTCAGTCCTTTTAATGCCTGTACACCTCTAGGAATCCTACTTCCATGTATAAGTGCAATACCTGCTTGTGTTTTGACTTCTTATTAGCCTGAACTCATGAAAATCAATAACCTATCTTTTTTATCTAAGTATCTAGTTCAATTCTGGGCATATAGTATTCAACAACATGTGTCGACATTAATAATGAGTAAGTGAACAACAGATGAAGAGGAGCCTGTGTATTCCATAATCCCAAGGACTATGAGGAATGCAGCCAAAAAATTAACTATAATATTACTCTTATCTTAGAATATAAACTATACTACCATAGAAATAGCAGCTTTTATAAGAATTTTTTTTAGCAGATCTAAAACAAAAGACATTAGTTATAAAGGCCTAGTGAGAAAAGTTACACTAGTTCAAGGCTACATTAACTGCTTGGGACAGGACAGTCTGAACCATCATGCCAGGGGGATGGGCTCCGGAATTGAGACCCTACCACGGTAACAAATTTCAGTGGGGCTGGAAACTGGGAAGAAGACCAGAACAGGGAAACCTTTATCCTTATGGCATCAGTAGGCTCCAGGAAGGCTCAAAGGTGGAGCTGTAGGCGGGCCTGTTAGGCTGACTGGTGCCTTTAGGGATCATCAGCCCAGGGACCACCACCAAGTACAAGTCCCTTAGAGAAAAATCACTTAACCATTTTCCCATAAAAGGAAAAGGTTTTGGAAATGTTGTGATTTATGGGTAATCCCAAGTATAAATTGTGGTTTAATGCAGAATGAAAAAACCAAAAACCACATCACTGACTCATAAACATTTTTTCCCTAATGTACTGAATTTAAAAGTCAAATTAAAAAGCAGTAAGGGTCAATAGTAATCTCACTTCTTAGAATATACTTCAACTAAGTTTCCCAAAACAAAAAAAGTCCTTTCTTACATAAAGATAGTCACTATAGCATTTTCTTTGATAATAAAAAAAGTCATAAACAGCATGAATTTTCTAAAAGGGAATGGGGAAATCAAGCTGTAACATGAGAGAATATTGCATAGTGACCACAAATGAGAATTACAAAAACTGGAAGCAATGTGGAAATAAAAAACAAAATTGTGGGATGAGGTAAAAGGTAAATGGCACATCATTTATAATTACATTTATACAAACATACATGTATATGGAAAATGAGACTATGAAAAATGAAGTTTTATTTCCTAAGGCCATATAATTATAGATCAATTATTAAAGCTGTGTTTCTAATATTTATGCAAGAAGAAATGAAAATAATTAAGAGTCTAAAACAGGAAAGGCATTCCAGATGAGACCTTCTGAAACCACCAGTATATTGAAATTCACGGCTAACCATAACTCTAAACAAGTTCCACTTTTCCACACACATGAATAACTGAACGATACAAAAAGAAAAATAAATACAACAGCTCTTACTCCAGGCCACACATGTACAATCTCTGTCCGCACCACCGTATCCACAGGATCTTGGTTTCCAAACCAGTACTGCCGGCTCCGATAGACCACGCCACAGTTCGGACATTCAATCACATACCTACAGGGAGACAAATAGGTACTGTTACCCAGCCAGGTGCCTGGGGAGACAAACACCAAATAACCCTCAGCTACATCATTTAAACTCACCCAGACCAGGCATATTTTGCAAGACCCATCCAGGGGGAGTCAGTAGAAGCAGATGTCTTGGGCACTACGCTGACCTCCTTGCCTCTCTCGTAGCAGGCCTGCAACATGGAACACTGCCAACTCCTCTGTACACCAGACCCCATGGTCTCTTCACATCCCTGTCCAGCCCCACTCCTCTGCAAACCCTACCAGCTGAGGGTTTACAGACCCTAGAGTTAGCACATCGTAAGTTCTTCCTCTAAAGAAGCCAGTGTGTTGAATGATGGTGGACTGAATATGTACCCATCCCAGGCCCGAAAACAGAGCTGTAAATTACACCCGTCACAAGACGGGAAATCAATAAAAACTGGACTGCTGAAGAGCACTTCTGCTCCCAAAAAGAATGAAAGCCAAAGTACATGACTTTTGCATAAAGCTCAGCACAGGGGGAAATGGAAGGCAGCACAATAAGGGGTGAGGGAGGGATAGTGAGGGGAAAAAAAGAGAAAGGAAAAGAAGAAAGAAAAAAAAAGGAGAAAGAAAGATACAAACAAACCAAGGCATCCCAGCAACACAGACTCATGAGTTCTTCTGGTCAGAACCAGGGAGAAGGTCCAGAGACAGTCTGTCTGAGTATCTCTGGGATGCAGTGAAGGATAGCCATAGCCAGTCTTTCTAAAAGAAGCGTGGGGCCAGCAGCCAGCTGCTGGAACAGGGAGAAGCTCAGAGGACTCACCTTGCAGGTATAAACTCGGTTGTCATACTGGTGGGAGTATCTACAGCGGCTCTTGGCTTCATGAGGGACTCCTTCTTTCCCATGATTCATGCTGTTCTTACACCCAGCCCTGAGGGAAGCACAAAGCTGACAGTGAGGCAGCTAAAGAGCCAATGCCACGTACACGGAGAATTCTGACCCTGAGCCAGACACGGGGTCAAAACCAGACCTTGGTTATTTACTGGGTGGGACCTAAATACTGGGCACAGAGAGGGCCATTTGTCTCAGAAACTCACATGCCTCTCATACAGCAACCAACAGCACTGCAAAGGCACAGCAACGATCACCCTTGTATGAGGAAAAAGGGGGAAGGGGAAATCTTTTTGGAGAAACCACCTGGCCCCTCACTAGGGCTGGAGGAGCCAAAAGGCACCACCCTGACAAGACATGAAAGCTGAATGGCTCTGGGGAAGCTCAAAAACCCAAACAGCATGAAATGGGAAGTTTAACCAGTACAGGTTGCCAAGATGAAAAACAAAAATCAACCCCAAAATTTGGCAATGCATTAAGAGGGTGTTGTACTTCAACAAGAAAACCTTTCAAATGAACAGCGAGCTTTGCCACCCCAACAATGCAAGAACAGAGATCAGGACTTCAGAATGATAGAGGGAAAGTTCTGGAAACCCTGGTGAGGCTCAGGATGCAAAAGCAATTGTCCAACAGAGCCTAAACCCCATGAGTTGGGCTCATGGGGCAAGCAAAAAGGAAGGTTAAGTCACACTGGCAACTAACATCTGTCTTTCCTCTCCAAAATAATCCTTAGTTCTCCCCAGCCCAGACTGTATCATCCAAGAGCCAATTATTTTTTACAAACTCAGAGCCAAGGTGTTCAGTGCCCAGCAAATGGCCTACAGGGTTTAATGCAAAAAGGACATTTGTAACAGAAAAGGGTCAGGTGTCCTCTATGTGGGCAAATGTGGAGGACACAGGCAGTGGTCCTGATGTGAGCAAAGACAATTCAGTGGTGAAGGGGGGAGGGGTGTTTATGGGACATGGAGACTGCAATCTGACCCTGGCCTCTACCAGACAAGGCACCAGACTGATTTGATAGCCATCAACTCAAATTAATCCAGTGATCCTCAAAGTGTGGTCCCCAACCAGCAACATCACCATCATCTGAGCACTTACCAGAAATACAAATTCTCAGGCCCTACATCAGACCTACTAAATCAGAGATAAGGCCCAACGATCTGTTCTAATGTGTCCTTCAGGTTTTTCTGATGCGTGCTAAAACCTGAGAATCACTGCTCTGATCCCCCTTGTCTTCTCTGAGGGTTTCAGCCCCAGATAAGTTCACTGTGGATTGGATCAGACTGAGAAATGACAACAGAACATTCTTGGGGTAAAAAGGGTTTATACCCAGCTTTATTCTCATGGCAGTAGGTTGAGCGCTAGAACCATGTCTGCATCCAGCAGTGTGCGGGTCTGTAATCCACGTCCAGCTCTGCCTACAGCCAGAGAACCGGGCAGAGCTCTTTATATAGTGACTCAGTCAATAATAGCTCATTGCCAACGGGTGTGGGAACATTAGCCTAGCAGTAGGCCACTCATCATCAAATAGTTTAGGGTCAGGTGAGGATGCTGGCCATAGGAACTTTCATTTTCCCCACACCCCTGTAATGAAGTGTGCACTTCATGGGCCAGCAGCACCCAGGAGCTTGTTAGAAATACAGCATCTCACCAAGACCTGTTGATTCAGAATCTACATTTTAACAAAACCCCAAGGTACTGCATAGACAGATAAAAGTTGAGCAGCACTGCCCTACCTCAGCTCAAGCTACGCATTCAGATCATCTGAGGAGCTTTGAAATACACCAATGCCGAGGCCCCACCCCAGATCTGGTAAGTGAGAATCCTTGGACAGAGGTGAGGCCCAGGCCTCCATAATTGTGAAAGCTCCCTCAGTAATTCTAATGTGCTCTAAGCATTTGCCCTCTGAGTGAAAGGAATCATCTAGGACTGACACTCACCACTGTGCTCTGCACACACTGGGCTGCCAAATATTGATTGAATAAGTGGGGTGACTACTATTGAAAGCTCTGGTAGAGGAATATAGGAAAAATAGGCAATGGAAAGATTTCTGCAGTAAAAACTGCCCAAACCAGAAGCCAAATTCACATTTAAACAATATTGGAACCTTCAGGAGATTTCTTCAAAACCATGTGTCTTGGAGTCCCCTGCAATCTCAAAGTGTGGTCCCCCAATCACCAGGATTACCTGGGAACTTGTCAGAAATACCATCTCGGGCCCCACCCCATCCTTAAATCAGAATCTGTAATTTAGCCAGACCCCAGGTGATTTTCATGCATGCTGAAGTCTGAGAAGCACCATGCAAGTCTCTTTACCCAAGCTGGGGAGATGGCTGGCCTCACTTACCCACAGCTGAGGCACAAGGAGGAGCAGGTGAAGTACTCATCTGGAAAAAAGGAGCTCTGTGCCATCTGGTCATCGGGGATCTCTCCACTGAAGCGGTCGCTCAGTGCCTGAGAAAGGAAGGCGGCACGTGAAGGCACTTGGCAGCTGCTTTACAAGCTCCACAGCTGGAAGAGGGAACCCAATGACTTCTGCTCCCACCCTTGACCTTCTTGGCCCCACCTGCACCAGTCCTCACCACAGGAAACCTCAGAAAGAACCAGCCCTTTTCCCAAAAGGTCAGAAATAAGCCAAGCTACTGTTCTCTCCTAATTACCTTGGAGGTTATAAACTCCTCACACATTCAGTCATTCATTCAAAACCACCACACATATTGACTAGTGCCCACTTCATCTTTGTGAAGCTGGGAACAAGAAGCTAAGAATCAAGAAGGTGGCTCGTCTTTAAGGCAAAAGGAGGCAGAGTTGAGAAGTGTGCTGGGAGCTTCCTGGGCTTCTTTGCTCATTTGGAGTTTAAGAAGCCACAGAACTACCTCAATGTAAAAGAAAAGACATCAGCCAAAAAACAAAGTGTTTGGCAGCCTTTCATCAACTACAGTAACCTAAAAGATGGCAAATGGCCAAAATAAATGTCAAGAGAAAAGATAAAGTATTTGCAGAAATAAACAAAATTTCATGTTGAAAGACAGCTTCCATTTCTAATCCTCTGTTTTCACTCACTATTTTATATTGAAAGTATTCTTCAGGCCGATTTTTTCCCTGCCAGGCCCTTAGCCATATGCAGTGGAAAAAGTTATATACAAAATGGGCTCTCCAGTCTTTAAAAACCAAATGCATGCAGTTCCAAGCTTTTAATTTTCATCTCCCATTCTGAGGCAGCCAGGCACTATTCAGGGGAAAAGAGGGAAAAGTAGACTCAGCAAAAGACAAGATGTTAGTTCCTTCAGTAAAAAGACAAAAGGAATTTTAAGATGACTTTGGAAAAAAGGGCAGATTAGGTTCTAGGGTTGGCAAGCTCTGAAGGGAATTTCACTCAATGAGAACATATTTGTTAAAGTTCCTTTTCCTTTTCCAATAAAGCATTAATTCCATAAGCTGCAAACTCAAGTGTTTATCAAGGCACCTGAAAGCAATGTGGAGTCAGGTCAGGTTGTAAGATAAGAGCAGTGGTAAGGAACATGTAAACAGAGGGTGCGTGACTCCAGAGGCACGTTCAGACTCAGCATGTGCAAGGATAATGCATGCAGGTCCAATAAAACACCATCTGCCAGCGGTGGCCAACCTCATGGCAACCTTTGTCTTAGACCAAAAAGAAAAGGTCTGACAAATAATGAGAAGTTTGGTCCTCTTTTCATATTTTGTAAAGAGTAACTTAGGGGAAACACTGATTTTGAGAAAGAATATAAATGAATATACCTATAAATACTAACGAGAATAGGTGAGGAGAATCACTCACTAGCCTACAACATCCTGGTGAGAGGATATAAGACCCTCTCACCTCTCCAACTTCTAAATGAGACTGACCCTTCAGAGACTTTTTTGATTTCACTTTTTCCACAAAACCCTCCCACCATACTCTGCCTTCTCTTAATACCTATTGTACTCAACCCCTGAACGATGATGCAAAGCTGTGAGCTCGTTGTATGTACCTTACCTCCCAGACTTTATAAATCATAAAACACTGTGAAAGAAGCTTCCTACCTTTGTGTGCTTCTCTAATTCACAGCAAAGGTCCTAACAAGTACTCAGCTAGGGCCTCTGGAACGGAGCGCCCCAACACCAGCTCCCCGGCACAGACCAACCCCTGCCCTCCCCTCCTCACCTTGGCCCTGCCTCTGCACCAGGCTTCATTCCAGGCCCACAGGCCCTCTCAAATTTAAGACCAACTGCTCCCTGATGGGCCAAGCTACTGACAACTCTTTAAGACTCTATTTCTCCAAAAAATATATGCATAACCCTCTGGGGCTAGCTGGTGAGAAAAGAGAGCATTATCTTCCTAATGCATCAATTTACTGAAGGATTAGAGGAGGAAGTTATTTCTACATAAAAAAACAAACATGGACATAGTATGAAACCAAATGGAAAATTTGCATACATAAAGCAAGAGACACTCCCCACCCCCGCAAAGCTATTTCAGCTTGTGGTTGGCAACTTTGCACTGTGCCTCCATTTCCTAGTCTATAAAATGGGGGTGCTAGCAGTATCTTCCTCAGTAGAGGTTTTCATGGATTACACTGTGAAAAGCAAGTTACCCATAGAGAGCACTTGGCATAGGCAGAAGGTATAGAAAACATAAGCTTCCATTATTGATATCATTTCCATTGTTTTTTTATACTGACAATTCTTTTTTCTTCCTTAGATACCCTTACTACCTAATCCAGGAAATGCAAGGGATATAAGAACCTCTCACCCTGCCATGATAGCTCACTGGTCTCCATGCTGCTTGCATTTGTTGGTGAATATTTAGCTGCAAAAAGATGCTTTTGTAGCTAATGAGGTAAAAGAGATATTAAAAAAAAGAGGAGATAACGGGGAGAACAGTATAGCACAGAGAAGGGACATAGTGGATCTCTGGCAACTTGCTGCACTGATGGACAGTGACTGCACTGGGGTATGGGTGGGGACTTGATAATATGGGTAAATGTAGTAACCACATTGTTTTTTCATGTGAAACCTTCATAAGAGTGTATATTAATCATACCTTAATAAAAAATTTTTTTAAAAAAGAGGAGATAACTAAGGAATGTAGAAGACACTAAAGAGGTAAATGCAAAATCAAAGAAGAGCATTTTTAGGCCCAGAGCTTTTCTTTTGAACAGGTAATTGAAAGGATAACCTAAGTTCTACTTTTCTATAGGAAAAATAGTATCAAATTTAATGAAAGTTCGACATCCAGGGCCTGCCTCCTACCTCCCTACCTTTGCGAGCTCCCTGCCAGCACCATGCTCAGGAAGGCCCTCCTCCTCTCCACCTGGGTGCACCCTAGCTGTGACTTTCCACACGCTACACCAGGAATTCACTGCTTACTCAGAGCCAACCACCAATTCAGATTTCATCATTGTCCTAGAATCAACCAACAACCAGGAGTCAGCTACTGACCTAGAGTCAGCCCATAACCTAGTCAACCACTGCCCTACATTTGGCCACTGAGGTAGTGCTGGCAGAGAACCTAGAGTCAACCACTGCTCTAGAGCCAGCCACTGACCTAGACTTAGCCAGTAACCTAGAGTCAATCACTGCTCTAGCCTTGGCCACTAGCCTAGAGTCAGCCCTGGCCAAGAGCTGTCCAATAACCTACAGTCACCCAGTGCTCTAGAGTCAGCCATTGACCTAGAGCTGGCCAATGATGTCGAGTTGGCCATTGCCCTAGAACTCATTCGTGATGTAGAATCGACCACTGACATGTATTTGGAGGACACACAGCCTTTTAAGTTGTCTACTCATGTGGAATCAAACACTGGCAGCCTTGAGAAACAAGCTACACAAGCAATATCACTGTTGCTTATACCAAAGAGCTCATGACTGGAACACCAGATAAGCCCACCTCCACCCCCCCACCACCAATGGGAAGCAATGAGTTTGTCCCAGTGTTTGTTTAAAGTGAAGCAGATTTTCCATTAGCTGTGACCATCACTGTGCTATCTACAACTTTCTAAGAAGATTCTGTGCTCCTGAACAAGGTTGCCATTCCATTTTAGAAGACTGAATAGTTGTAAAAGACTACTGAACATGGACATATGATGTCTCCAGCTGATTAGAGTGGCAGGAATGTACCCAGACAGAGGAGGGGACTTTCTTAACCATGACCCATTTAATATGAATTCAATAAATGTTCACTTGAAAAAAAAATTAGAATTGAAAAAAAAATTAGACTTCAACAACTGGGTTGAATATCGAATGCCTCTCCCCAGTAAATATAAAAAATGGAGCCCAGTAATAATGACAGTATAAGGTTCTTTCTGTTCCAAACCCAAGGGCTCTCATTCACTTCTCCAAAAATTCTTCAGAAAAATGGGGGTCATTCTAAGATCTTGAGCCTTGTCATTATAAACACTCTGCAGCCTGATTCCCATAATACATATGCCCACAGAACCTCCATTGTTGCTGTGCTAGACAAATTAACTGTTGGCATATGTTGGACAAGGCAACAGTAAGGTCTTATGACATCAGAAAGACAACTCATAGACAGCCTAGCCTCATCATTTCAGACTGGCCCCCATCCTGTCAAATGCTATTAACACAAGCAGCAGCTCACTGCTCTCACAAGTCACTGAAGAGCTGGCACTTAGTAATGAATCAGACCTTGACAAGCTTCAGAAAGATTTATATGATTCAGGAATATGGGAATATAACAGCAACTGTTAAAAAAAATTGACATTAGTGTGTTTTAGATACAAGGGTAAGGAAAATCTGTCCTCCTTCCTCTATAGCCTGATTGTTCCTTTCCAGTGTAGACACTACCACCTACTCTATATACTTTATCTTTCAAAAATTCCAAACGTCACATTATTCCAGAGTTTCTTGGGCTCTCCTCCTCACTGAGCTCACAAAGCTGTGAGAGACAGGCAGGAAGGAACCACTCCTGAGAAAGCCTGGGAAAGCATTTGAGGCAAGTCTGGAAGGTTGCCTGGAGACCAGATGATCTTGAACTTTAGTTGCCTTGGCAACAGTATGGCTTTTTTCTATTGAACCTGTATGGTTAGCCCCAGTCATCAAGCACCAGGGGTGAATATTCTGATTCAAAAGGAGATGCTTATGTAATCACTGATGCCACCCCCAAGAAAATATAATAACTTTGTAAACATTTAAGAGATGCTTCTTGTTGGGATAGAATTGCAAAGTCAAAGTTCTATATTTAGAGCTCAGAGGCTAAAAAAGGTTTTATATGAACTCAACTCTAAAACAGTTCTCTCCATTATTCAGAACAGACAATAATTAATTTAATTAATCATTACTGTAAATACAGACAATAATTAATTCAATATTCAATTCCCTTACTTGGTAGGGACGCACATGACGTAGGTAGGTGAGTATCTCTTTAAACAGATTTACCTGTTCAATAAAGGTATGCTCTGCTGGTATTTGAGCTGTTGCTATCATGGAACCTGAAC